TTATAGTTTTACCTTGCTATCAAGTTATTGTCACAATTGTAAATATCTTTTGAACTTTAAATAAGCGAGTAAAAGTGTGCCTGGCAGCGCACCACTTGCACTAACCCAGAATGTCCCCAAATCTACATCTCAGGAAATGTGTTTGCTTTGTCGTCACTGTCTATTTTGTAAATCATAGAAATGATACACCTAGGAAAAAGGATAATTGATAGAGTACAGACTATTAATGATTGAGAAAATAATGGTCCTTCTACCCTCGCCCTCATTTCCTAGGGGTTTTTGATTTTGACATCGGTTACCACCATTATTCTAAATACTAGTCCAGATAGTTTTTGATTTATGGACTTTCTCATTTGGAAGATGAAGAATTTAACTCATCTACACATAATAGTTTCACTTTCCTTCCTTGGTCTCCTCTGAATTTGTTGGTTAAATTGTTATTTTCGGTTTTGTTGATGATCTTTAAAGTGTTAATATACTGGAATCTCTATTTTTGGTTCTATCTGGTTTAGACACTATCTCTTGATACATCCTTATTCAGAAATAAACAACCTCTATGTTATTTTCCATTTATTCTCCCCTGCTCCACTTTCCATCCGTCATCAGCTTTATTTTTTTGTATATTAACAACATTTTGGCATTACCATTCTGTTCTATAATTATAATTGTGTGTTAAGTACTTTGTCCATAGGTTTAAAATCAATGAATAAAATTTATAGTATCATGATATGTAAATATTATTTACTGCAGAACTAAATACTGTGATTAGATCCGTGGAGAAAATTAATTTTACATCATCAAATTTGTGCTGCTTGTAAGAGAATGTTTCAAGTGTCAAGACCAATGAGATTCTCTCTCTCTTTTTAATATGCCATAAATTGCTCAAGTTAATAACATAATTTAGTGCATTTTGCTTTTGACTTTTTGTGACTTTCTTGTGCTATTTTTAATTTTGACTAGAGCTTATCATTGTCTTTTTTTTTTTTTCTTTTTGAGAAAAGAAGGTATCCCATGTCAGCATGGTACTTGGGTCTTTCAGCTCCCACTAAAATCATAATATTTCTTGAATAAAATGTATTTCCTTTGAAGAAACTTTCCTTGAGGCCCTCTATCTGCTGGTTCTAATTTACATCAAGCTGGTATTTCTTTTACTGAACTTTGTAGTAGTTTATGTGTTTTTGAGAACCCACACTTCTAAAACGTCTTATTTGACTTATTTCCTAGATTCCCTTCTCATTTTCTTAAGAACATCCTCAAGTAATTTTTTTTTAAAGATTTTATTTATTTATTTGAGAGAGAGAGAATGAGAGAGAGCAAGCACATGAGAGGGGGAGGGTCAGAGGGAGAAGCAGACTCCCCGCTGAGCAGGGAGCCCGATGCGGGACTCGATCCCGGGACTCCAGGATCATGACCTGAGCCGAAGGCAGTCGCTTAACCAACTGAACCACCCAGGCGCCCATCAAGTAATTTTTTTATAGAGTGTTTGGTAGGTAAACTTTATAACCTTATGTATAAGAATATCTAACTTTACCTTCATTGATAGTTTTTCTGGGTATAGAATTCAAGTTCTAAAATATCATTTTTCTTTAGAACATTGAGGACACTGCTCCATTGTCTTGCAGTATCTGGTCAATCTTGAGTATCTTTCTCTAGTTCTGAAAAATTTCTCTTCTAATTCTCCACTGATTATTTCTCCCCTCCATGTTTTCTTTTCTTTTCCACCTGGAAGACCTATAGGTAGATGTTGATCTCCTGGATTATTTTTCTATGTTTCTTACTTTTATTTTAATATCCCATGTTTATATTTCTTTGTCCTTTTGCTATAATTTTTAGTAGCTTTCCCTAACAAGTTCTTTTAACACTTTGGATTGTTTTTATTTAGATTGTCTTATTTTTAATTTCCAATATTTGTTTTAAAATTTTTCCTATTGCTCCTATTCAGTAGTAGCCTATTCTTGTCTTGTAAATTTCTTTGAAGATATTTTAATTATTAGTCTTAAAACCTCTCTTTCCTCTGAAGTCAGAAATTCTTTGGTCCTTCCCTTCTTTCCTGCTGGTTTCCTCAAACATTTGCTGATCCTTGATATCTTTTCATACAGTGAATTAAGATATCTTTTCATACAGTGAATTAAGCATAGAGATGTGTACTACACATGGTTGGTGTGGGTTTCCTCTGCTGTCTGTTTCCCTGACATACCTCATACCCCACCAAATGGGGTCGTTCCTTGGAAGTTTTGGTTTGTGGGTGGTTGGTCCATCCCAGGCTTCACATTGGGGTTTTCCAGGTGAAGTAGGCAATCTTGCCTCTTTTCAAATACCAAAGTAAGCCAGCCTTTCTCTGAGATGCCACCATCCACACTTGAAGTCTGGACTTGGCCCTGGTACATTTGCCATGTTAGAGAGGGCTCTCTGGTTTATGCTGGGGTATACACTGCGTCTGCCAATCTCTCTGTCCACTTGGGCATGGTGAATAAGGAAGATGCTTTGGGGCACAATTGTTGGATATATCATTTATTGGCATCATTCTGATTTCACAAAGAAATCCCCTCTGTCCTTCCTTCGTCAATTCTGCAACCTTCCCTTATTCCTTCTCAAGGTGAATTATAAATGAGGAGTTGATGGGCATTTGCCGGCGGGGGGGGGTGGGGGGAGTGGGGGTTTACCTTTTAGCAAGTCCTTCAAAAGTGGTCTGGCTTCTCTGTTTAGAATGTGGGGGTGGGCAGGGGCTTTACCTTTGCTGCCAGCTTTAGTGCTTCAGCAGCAACTGAGACAGGAAGAATAGTCCTCTTTTAACATCTGCTTGAACCTAGAAGGGTACTGTATGGTCTATTCACAGTCTGGACTCTTCCTTCAGACCAGAGTCTCTCCAGGGCAGGGACTGTATCCTTTCCATCGTTATTTGTGTCCACCAAGGATGCTGATGCCAGCAGGAAGGCTGGCTAATTATGATGTGGATGAGCAAAGAAGGGACCATCAGAGGAAGGAGAAGACTCACAGAGGACGGCTGGGAGTCGAACTGAGGCAAAAGGCCCCCTGAATTCTTCCTCCCAAGTTTGAGACCCTGGTTGTGATGCTCCAATGATCCCAGAGCCCAAGCTGCTCTGTTTTTCTAGAAATAATATGGCCAAGGCTACAGACTTAACTTTGTAAAGTGTCAAGCCTTGGGGCAAAAAGAGAAATAAAACAGACAAAGAAATAAAAAAGACGAAGCCCGCTGGTTAAAGGCGGGGAAGAGAGCCCTGTCTGCTGACGTGCTCTGAAGTTCCTCTGGGCTCCGAGTGCAGCCGGCTCCGCATCTCCAGCTGCCTGGTGCATTTATGCTTTACTCTGAAAATGTGAAATTGGGTTCTTCCGTCAGGAGAAAACCTTCTTGACAGTTCCAAGTGCTCGGCGGGAGTGTTTGGAGCGAGGCTGTTCGGGCGCTGCGATTAGGCCGCGCGCCTTGCTGGCTGACAGTCTGTCACTCCCGGGGTTAATCCGGGCCCAGCGGCTCTGCAGGGAGGCCCGGACAGACGGACAGACGCGCGAAGCGCGCTCCGAGAAAGAAGCCTTAGCCTCACTCATTCACTCCCCAGCCCGTTGCTAAGAAGGGGTCCTGCCATGGGGTGGGGGGTGTGGGGTGTGGGGGGGATAGGAGCCACTTTCTCCCTGGGGCTGAGATAATCCAGAAAATCTGTTCACGTTCTAGGGGAGAATGTGACACCTTTGGCCCCTCCCATTTCATCACTGCAGACGTCCGTGACAATCCTATTAAACACTGGAAATAAAGTAATTGAAACTAGCAGTTTTGTTGCACCCACGAATACAGGCTCTGTCGTAGAGTGCTATGACAGAGTAGAGTGCTATTTTATTCCATTTTTGCAACCTGCATGTAAGTAGAAGAGCCCAGATTTGAAGGCGGGTCTGGCTGGCTTCAGAGTGCTTTCTCCTCCATTAAAACCCCCGTTTATCAAAGTATAGCGTACTTGTCAAGCACTGCATTAAAATCCCCTTCCTCTACTAATTAGATGATTTTAGGTAAATTAACCTCTTTGGGCTTCAGGTTTCTTATCTATAAAATGGGGATAATAACATCAACTTTATGATCTGTTGTGTGGGTTAAATAAAAAATATATATAATTACGTATTACATATGGCACACATATAAATATATATTATATATGATACATAATGTATAAATCTATAGATCTATATTACATTTATATAATATAAAAACATTAATATACTTATGTTATATAAACATATAATATGTAGATTATATATATTATATACATATATGACTCAGTACAAGCCTGGTGCCTAGTACACATTCAATAAGTATTTGTTGTGTAAATGAAGAAATGAAGAAAGAACAATAATAGTCTTCTAGAACACCCATTTCCTTAGAGGGGGTTTCACCTTCCGCGTGGACATTTGGACGTTTGGGACTGGGTAATTCTTTGCTGTCGGGGGCTGGCCCGTGCATCATAGGGTGTCTGGCCGCATCCCCGACTGCTACCCACTAGAGGCCAGCAGCAACACAGCCCTCCCCAGTTGTGATAACCAAAAATATCTCTGGACCCTGCCACATACCCCTTTGGGCACAAAACTGAGAACTGCAGCCTTAGGGAGACCCAACTCTGCCTTGGACACCATAGAGGAACAATGTGTAAATAATAAACAGTTTGGATATTTAACATAAGTAGTGTAGACTTCGTGGGCGGCCGGTCTCTACTCAGCCCTGCCGTTATGGTACAAAAGCAACTATAGACTGTGTGCACACAAATGAGCATTCCCGGGCTCCAGTAAAACTTCACAAAGTCAGGCTGGCCCACAGGTGGTTGCTTGCTGGCCCTACTAGAGCCAATATAGAAGGAGCAGAAGAGGAGCATCCTTGTGGGATAGGCCACACTCTTACTGAGCCCCATGGCCTGGGACTGGCCCTACATGTAGGCAGAGGGGATTTTGTCTATACGTGGACTGTGAGAAGGACCCCTATTAAAAAGCCCTTTGTCTCATAGGCTAGGCATGGTGTCTGCAAACTCCCCACTAAAGCGTCATCTTGTGGAATGTCAAGCATGGCTTTGACCAGTACCCTCTTCGTAAGAGAACCTTCCCACAAGAAAACCAGAAGGTAAAGCTGCGTTCAGGGAGTACCACCTACATGTGAGTCTGAGTTTCTCCATTCAGAGGGCTTCTTGACCCTCCATAGCACTGCACCCTGTAAGAGGGTAAGGGACAAGAATGGACCTGGAAAGAAGGGGCAAGTGTGTACAAATGGGCAGCTGGGGTCCTAAACATAAACTTGGCAGACTTCTCAAATCTACGAATAAAGAACATCTCCAGTTTCAACTGAGAGGAAATGACACAAAAGTCAACTCTGTTATTTGGCAAGGGTGTAATTAGGCTCACAAATGGAACTTTATTAATAAGGAGTACTGAAATCCTTCTCTAAATAGTACCCTACCACCCTTGTGTCAGCTGCCTGCAGGTTAAAGCATGTCCCCTGCTATGATGACGCTGCTGTACACATCCATCTCAATAGGGCACAAATATCCTGCCACAAACACACTCTCCAGGTGCCACAGTTAGAGTCCCTGCCCAGTGCAAGCAAGAAGACCGTAGCTGGAAAGTTAAGGAGTCTGAAGTAGATTTGGTCGGGATCCATGCCTTACTTCATTTAGCTCATATCTACCTTCTGTTACATTTTAAATATCTCTGACACGAGGGCATGCTACCTTTTTTGACATTACTGTTGTACCTTCCTTTGCAGATGAGGAAGCCAGTGAGTTGTAAGCAGCAGTCATGAGAGGCTTCAAGAAGAGCTCTTTAAAGGGATTAACTCAGTTAGATCCATTTTGCCTGTCTGCTCTACCCCTTCATTTCTGCCTGAAACTTAGTTGTGATGGCTGGAGTTTTTGCAACCATGCTGTAATCAGGAGTCTGGGCTGCGGGTGACATAAAGCTGCCATCAAGTCCTGGATGGTCTATCCTTGGACCTATCATATAAGAATGAAAACCAAATGTCTTTAAGAAGATATCCGGGGAGACTTTGCTATGACAACTGCAGTAGCTTAAAGATGACCACAGATTCTTTTCCCCTCTTACCATAGAGCGGTAGAATCTGTTTCCCTTATCTTTAAATCTGGGCTAGCCCTGTGGCCTGTTCTGACCAATAGGATGTGGCACCTGTGATATCTGCTGGGTCTAGGCTTTAAGGTATCTGCCACTTCCGCCTCTGCCACTTAGAACATCCCCTGTCAGAACCCAGCGGTCTTGCTTGAGAAATCCAAGCCAGATGACGAGACCATGTGGAGAAAAACTGAGACACTCTGTTTGTTAGGAGTTAGTTGGACAGTGAGGTAGTCAGGGCCAGGGTCCCCAGCAAGAATATACGGAGTCAGGATAGCTAAAATAAAACAGCACTGACATCCTGTTTTGCAGCTCAGATACGAGTGCACTGACATTCTGCTATGCAGCCTTTGCAGAAATGACTTCTGCAAAACATCCTAAAATAAGACAATTAACCATAAAAGCATTTGTCAATATCACAGGCAAAAGGCAGTTAAGACCTAAGCCCCCAGATGTCAGCAAAAAAAGGACCATCAGCACGTGGACATTAACCTAATAGGTAGACAGATACGTGACCAAAGCCCTGACTGGCATGACTCAGCACACCCTGATTGCTTAAGGAAGTTCCCCAAAAGACCTCATAAAAACCCCTACACTTAGAAACTCAGAGGACAACCCACTCGGGTCCCCCTCTCTCTCCGGGAGCTTTGTGCTCTTGCTCAATAAACGTTGCTTTGCTGCCTACCACTCTTCGTCTGGTCTACCTCTTCATTCTCTGAAGCAGTGTGACCAAGAACTGCGGGCATTAAGGGGACACAGAGTCCTGTAACATGATCAACAGCCCAGCTCTATTCTCTGCTGATTGCCAACACTGACTTCCAGCCAAGTAAGTCAGCCTTCTAGGATGTGCCAACCCAGTCACACCTCCAGATAACTGCAGCCCTTGCTAATACCACATCAAGCCCAAGAAACACACAGCTGATCCCAGTCTTCCAGATGATAACACAAAAGCATCAGATACATGAGTCCTGTCTCCGATGTACCATCTCATCAAGTCTCCAGATAACTGCGGCCCACTTGGATAAGCTGACACCACCTGGAACAAGAGAACCACTTGGCTAAGCCCAGTCAACCTCTAGATTCATAAGAGATAATAAACTAAGAAATAATAAAACATAATAAAAACAAAAATAATAATAAAATAAATTGTTTTAAGGCACACCACTGTGGTGACTGAATATAGAAACCATGCAGAAATAGAATCAAGGTTGCAGCCCTGTGCAAGCAGGGAAGCAAAAAACCAGAAAAACTTCAAGTCTCAAGCATACATTAATCATTTAGAAATGTAAGGGCTTAATTCCCTGCCTAGCTGAATATTTTGAAAACCAGTGAACTGAGAAATAAACATGAAACTGGCCTAATCTTTAGATCTTGGGGCTAACTAGCAGTGAAACCATCTCTCAGGTCTCCTATTGATGAACCCTTGGGTGAGAATTACAAAGCACACAGGGAAATACAATGTATAACTTGCAGTATGTGCAGTGATGGAGAAAAGGTCACAGCCCCAAGTGGTAGGCAATAAGAAAGAAGAAAGGAACTTTAAAATTAATGTTTAACATAGGCAAAAGTAAAGGATTAAATCTGGAAGGCAATAATGGCTTATTATGAAAAATGAGCAGGAATAGTTGGACAAAAAATTAAATTGGTATTCTAGAAGTGAAAAATTAAAAATAATTGAAATGTAAGAAGTCTCGATGGACGTGCTAAACAGTAAATTGTATATATCTCACACACACACACAAAGAATCAGTAATTTGCAGCCAGATCTGAAAAATTAGTTAAAATATAGCACAAAATGCTAAATAGATACAAAGTAGAAAGAAGCAAAAAGACGGGCTGTGCTGGGAACTTCCACCGCATGTCTAATGGGGATTCTAGGAAGAGAATATGAAGTAAATGTAATGGGTTGGATAATTTTTCTAGAAATAACTGAGTACTTGAGTTGGAAATTATTCTGACTCACAAATAATAGCATATTCGACACACTGAATTGATGACTATGATATGCATAAGTGTACATACACACACTATATATACACTATATATAATATAGACCATATATACTATATATGAATATATATATATATATAATTTGGAAGCAATTGTGGCTTTATTAGAAAAGAACTCATTTTCACATCATATCTTTTGTAATTTCTAGTCATGGTAAGCCTGGATCTTTGGTCTTTTCTCCTAGAAGGCTGACTTACTTGGCTGGAAGTCAGTGTTGGCAATCAGCAGAGAATAGAGCTGGGCTGTTGATCATGTTACAGGACTCTGTGTCCCCTTAATGCCCGCAGTTCTTGGTCACACCGCTTCAAAGAATGAAGCGGTCTGCCCAACTTGCACAGGGCTGCAACCTTGATTCTATTTCTGCATGGTTTCTATATTCAATCACCACAGTGGTGTGCCTTAAAACAATTATTTTATTATTATTTTTGTTTTTATTATGTTTTATTATGTCTTAGTTTATTATCTCTTAAGAATCTAGAGAATCCGGCCCCTCTCCGCATCTCTTTGCCTTCTGTTACTGCGTTCTGTTATCAGGAATGGCCAATCCCATCGCCGGTGTCTGCCAGAGCTCTGCCACCTTTCAGAAGCCTCCTCGGACGACCACAGGACATTGTCTCTATTTTCTCTAAAATTTTACAACCCTGGAATTTGTTCACTTCTTTGGCTCTTGGCCCATTGGCTTTTTAATGAGCTCTTTGGAGGCTCTTTCAGGTTGAGGGCCTCCGTTCCTATTTCTTGGACTCCCCTGTGACTTGATTTGTTCTCAATAAGTGGTAGTTCCTTAATATAGAGGGATAGCCCTCTTAAAACTTGTGAGAGTAACTTCTGGGGAGATGAAAGGGATAACAATGAGAAAGGGGGTTGAAGACGTTTGTAAGAGTGTGATTTGACCCCTGCTGGCTCTCCACACAAACAACACATACCTCCAGTACAACCACCGTAACTACTCCTACTGTGACCACTATTGGTACTGCTATTCCTGCTGATGTCTAGCGAAGGCATCCAAGTGAAACACAAAAGGCTTGAGAGGAATCTGCCGTGAAACTGTGGACTGAGAGGACGACTGATGGGTGGTGGAAGCAGGTAGAGGGAAGAGTTCTGAAAAGGTAGGGGAAACGCGGGAGGAAGGTGGGGGGAGAATGCTGGGAGAGGGAAAGAACGGAGACCTGGCAGTCACTCTCTGATTGGCTGGGATGCTGAGAAGAAAAGAAGCGAGACACAGCACCACAAAAATGGCTGATGGAATTTATTCCCACAGGAGGGAAGACATTGAAGCCACCCCATCCTATAGAAGGTACAGAGGCTCTGTGCCCAAGAGCAAGCCTAATGAAGGGCTCAGAGAAACAGGGTTGTCTTCTCTGGAGATGTAACTTCATTCTTTCAGTGACCCAGATTTAGTGGAGTGATTAGCAACTATCTCAGAAGTCATGAAGGCCAAAAGCCTTCTCTGGGTATAGCCTCAAATCAATCCAGCTTGGATGGGAACTGGAGCATTGTGAATGTGACAGTTTGGACTCAGCCAAGAGATGAGTATTTTGACTCTTTTTCCCCAGAGTGATAAAGCTAGAGCAATAACCCGGATCGATATTGCCAAAACCACCAATAGACTTGTCATAACCACCAATCCTTAATCACTGACCAACTGGATTCATTTCCATAGTTTTTAATTTTTTACCATCTTCAGAGGGAAAATACCTTTAACCCCAAATTTCTCTGATACTCTGGATGAAGTTCCTATCATTTTATCCCTCCAAAGTCAGATCATTCTTCTCTTGGTTAATTTATTAACTGAACTTTCTATATTGTGTGTGATGGCCCTTGATTCGAAAGTCCTGCTGAACACATCAATCTATCTAGTTGCTGACTTTTAACTTCCTGGCTCAATCAATCACAAAGCACCCTAATCTTTCTTGGCTTGTCCTGAATTACATTTGATACCAGTCCAACCTTATCTTTAATAAGCTCACCTAGGTAATTTGCATATAACAAGCAAATTAGGTCTTCCAATGCTTATTTATAGGGTGCCATAGCCATAAATCAATCTAGAAATAACCTGCTTCTAGAGGCCTTCTGGCTAAATGGGGAACAGAACCTAATAAATAAAAGTTAATTCCTTTTCTCAAGTTCAATTTGTTCTTTACATTTATGCAGTTCTTTCTGTCATTTACAATTAACTATTAGATTTAAATCAGGCAAGAAAGTCATACTACTGTTTTGGATCTTTTGGCATCAGTTCTTTGATTATTTTGAGCACATGACCACAAATTTGTGGTGTTTCTCTGTTCTACTTTAGTGGCTCAACTATAAGTATACATATGGAATGGTACAGAGTAGAGCTATAGAAGACCTAGATTCTCCTTTTAGATTTGACATATGGTATGATTCCTGTGATTTTTGGGGTAATATGCCATCATTCCCCCGGTTTCCCCACTTTAAATTAAGGGGGATGGAGCCCATGGATAAGTTTCAAGTGGTCTGTGAACTCTTGAAATGACATGCAACCTTTTTAATGTGTTTGTGTATTATTTTCCTTTTAGAGAGGTCCAGAGCTTTAATCAGAACCTATTTCTAGCATCAAAAAGCTAAGAAATACCAGATTAGAGTACATTGCATTCCTATTTCAGTACCCACATAATATAATTTGATCATTACTTTGTGCTCTCAAGGGAGAATTCTATTTTTCAATAAGTCATATTTTTATGCACTCATCTGTGCTCTCTAAATTGAGTGCACCTACAAATCAAGGGTGTGAGGAAGGATGGACTTTTCATAAACTATCCTGGGATAATTGGTTATTGATATGGGAAAAAAATCCCTACCTCACACCATACACAAAAACTGAATTCCAGTTATATTAAAAACCTAAATGTGAAAAGCCAAAATGAAAAACTTTTAGAAGATATGGGAGAATATCCAGCAGCAAAGTATTTCTAAAATAAGACAAAAATTTATGTCATGGTAAGAAAACATGGATATATTTTACTATACTATAGTTGTGAACTTCTGTATGATCAAAGACTTCTTGACAAAACACACACAAACTAAAACAAGATACTTCAAAAACACATAACTCACAAAGTGTTAATATTTTGAATATATTAAAATTTTCTTTCTCTACACTAATAAGAAATAGATAAAAAATAGAAAATGGGGAAAAGATATGGAGAGGTAATATAAGGTAGAGGTGCTATGAAGGGCCTCTACTATTCATATCCCTTCAAGCTCTAACATGCCCTGCTGTTTCTAGAGCCCTTACTTATTCTGCTATTTATTTTTAAATTTATTCTGTGCTATTTGCCATGGTTCTCTGTTTCATATGGGCAATTCTTTATGTTAAATCTCTTGAGACAAGCACTATGTTTTAAACTTTTAAATATATTTATTAGATAGCTCCTAGCACATCACTGAATACCTAGGAGAAACACACAAAAATACCATAAATATACTTTTTTCTACATTTAGACATCCCTAAAATTGAGATGCACATTGCAATCTATGGTGTTTGACACCATCTGCCAGGTAGCCTTCAAGCCATAGTTGCTTTTAACTGCACAAGCATGAACTTGGTTATCACTATTCATCACTATCATCTCTTCAATCGAGGTATGTGCATTGTTGGAACTACATTTATTGAGTTTAATTATTATTTAAATATATTTTTAAAAATAACAC